CTTTTTTAGAGAAAACCCCCATGATTTTTGTGCAAATTAAGGCTACAATCACACTGCAGCCAAACATGGAACGAATCTGACTTTGTCCACGTGACACAGGTCTTCACAGGTAGTGTGAACAACCCAAGCTGCATGGAATCTGATCTTTTCACTTCAGATGTGTGCCACTTTCATATGTAGTCTTAAATCAGACACAGATCTGATGTTTTGCAATGGGACCACAGTGTAATCGTTTATGATCGTTCTGATTTCATGTGACTTTTACATAATCTTTGAGCGACATGCGTCATCATTCTGTGCCTCAAACATGATCTACTCCTCAGCAGCATAGAAAAATAGCACACAGATCGATTACTTCACAGAAAGTGGTTGTTCATGTTAAAAAAATTTTTGAAGGCAAAACTGGTGTTTGTTAACCAATCTGTTTACAATTGGGGCACGGGTTAATCATGAAGGCCAAGAGGGGTGTTGCGGATAGGGAATCCATGCGCAAAGGAGAGACACATTCATTTTAAGGATGAACTTTCTCTCTGAGGGAAAAAAGGAAAGGTACTCGAGCACCCAAACCCCCCTTTTTTCTCGTATATAAACCAACTCCGCCTTCACAGTTCAGTCTGCGGCTGCTCATTAACCCTTGATGAGTTCACTACACCGCTGGTCAGAAAGATGTGCACTGCGGTTGTCATAAATCACAAATGATCAGTGTTTTCAATCACAAGCGACTTATTTTAATTTTCAAATGCCAAAATGCATATTAGTAGTAGCAGAACAATCCTTTACAGTTGGTGAAATACGCCACGGTTGTCTGTAAAAAGGGTAATATTAAGCATAATCTGACAATGTGTTTCATACAGTATACACACTGTGTGCATAATTAGTCATTTTGTGTTGTCCGTAATTCTACTTTTGTGCATGCGGGTCACTTTAGGATCTCTTCACACTGCAAATCTGATATATGCCACATTCATGACAACTATGTGAACAGCTATGCAAAAAATTCAGATCTGAGAAAAAAAAATCCGATTTGAGAACTACAGCAAGTCTCGCAGTGTGAATGTAGCCCTTTATTGTTTTACACACACACTCAAACATTTTTAAAAACTCCCATGTTACTTTTGTTAAAATTATGCACTTGTTTTCCATATTATTTGATATATATTTTAAACAGCACTTATTCACCATATTCTTTGACGACGAGCGAGCGCAGCCATTTGAATCTTTTTGGCTCGAGACTTTCGGTCTCATTCACTTCCATTCATGTTTAGATATTAAAAACTGCTCGTTACGCTGTATGATGTTGCAAACCAATATTTCCTTATTATATTTTTCTGCTTGGTCTATATAGTAATGCAAACATTTCTTTGAACAGCAAGTAGTTTGACTGTTTTCTGCCGTTTATTATTCCAAGTCTCTTCTGAGCAATGTGCTCACTCAACTCTCTATAAGGCCACTGACAACATAGATATAACATGAAACATTGAAAGATGAGCAAATCTCCACACAAACCCTGAGAAATGATAAAGCCCTGGAGATTTATTTTTGTATTTACTTCTGGCTGTCTTTTAAAAAGAACTGTGTTCTACCCAAACTGGTACATCAGATCACTTCAGTTTTTGATAAAGCATTCATTAACATACTCTCAAACCTTAGATTCTCAGTCATTCAGCACATTTCCCACATGTCCAATCATTTCACAAATCATTGATATCTATCCGGGTTTTCCATGACCGTGGGAATGCTATGCCTTCAAAAGAATCACCCTGAACGTTCATATCAGTCACCAGTTAATTTTATGGGTAAGCTTGTTTCTTTGGTGAGCGTTTATGAGTGTATGTGTGTCTTCTGTCTTTAACATTTTTCTATCTGGGTCACAGACTGCATGGCCAAGCGCTTTTGTCATGGTGATGACCTGAGCCAGGTAGTGACCAGTGTCGTGTTACCGCTGTAATAAAGAAAAAAAGTGAAAAAACAAAAAGGAAACCACTATCATCTTTCACACAGACCACCAGGATGAAAACAAAACCGCTGCTTATTAATGCTGTCTAGATTGTTCTGAATCACCTGCCCAGATTCAGACAGAAAATCACTGATACAGACAACATATATCAGTGGTTTCTGTTTGGGGTAATTTGATAAAGCGATAGTTCACTCAAAAAGGAAAATGGCCCCATCATATATTCTCCCTCATGTGGTTTGAAACCTTCTCAAGAAACTCAAAAGGTTTTAAACAAGTGAAGCTTGAGTAAATTATGGCAGATTTGTAATTTTTGTAAACATTATCGCTTTTTAAAGCTTTTCACCTTTAATTAAAACATCAGAATATAACCAAAATATGGACAAGCATAGAGAATTTTGTCCAAATAAGTCTCATTTGGATAATTATATTCTCACTATTCAGACTTACAGTTGCAGTCCGAAATTATTAATACCCCTGGCAAATTCAGACTTAAAGCTTTTGTTCAAATATAAATAATAGTTTGTTCCTACAATGATGCCTCTTCTCTATTGTTTTATCTTTTGGCAGAGGCTTTTGTCATTTCCGGTCAAAAAAAATAGCTGGTTGAATAAAAGTAACTTTAAGTCAAAATGAATCATTTCAGGCTTGACTGTATGTAACATAGTGGAATTCAACACTGTGAGATTTCAGAATGGACCTGATACACCTGCATCTTCCTATACGGTTAGTGTGATTTCACCAAGTAGGACATTTATGTTGATCCTGGAGCAACATTCCAATTAGCCAATCAGATTTAAGAGATATGTTTACATTTTATGTTAAAGGGTCACGAAACACCAAAACACATTTGTTGAGATGTTGACAGTCATATATGTATCCCACATTGCTAAAAACCCAATTTCACGAGTTCAAACTTACAAATGTTTAAAGAATAAAGCGTATTTGGCCTGCTGTCCAGGGAGAGGGCTCTGAGCTTAGGGGAAGACACCCCAACTCGTATTATTCCCCTTATCAGGAAAGAAATAGACGTTGGGGTTCGAGTGAAATGTTTAGCTCGGCCCCAGAACGCTCTCTCCGGGTAGAAAATGTTTAAGAGGTGAGGTTTCGGGGTGGTGGAGGGATGCTAAGGTCATGAGATAATGCAGGTAGGACAACTTTTGGTACTTTTTTGTAGGCTACTTAATATTGAGGAAAAGCCCCAATCAGCCCCCGCCTCCATTTTCAGATTTCTCTGTTTACCACCATACACACTGACATGAAGCAACAGCGTTTTAAAATATGATTAATAATAAAAAAAAAAAACGGTTTCTTCACCATTTTCAAAAAGTTTTTGGTGCTCGAAAACTCTGGTGTAATGTGGACGGACGGCGAAATTGTAGCAAAATGTATGCGTTATAAAATGAAAACGTATCAGTGTAAACGGGGCCTAAATTTTGGCTTACAGTTAGGGTTATGTGCTTCATTGTTATATTATACTATTAATCCCCTTTGATTTTGGGAAATATTTACAGTTAGAATTTTATTTAAGGATTAGGTATGGACTACATCTTTGAACAGGAACGATATTCCACAATCAAAATAATATTAATCCAAGATCCTACTTGGCAAAATCACACCTACTCACTATAGTTGTATACATCTCTGATGTTTCACTCTTTACCTCTCTGTGTGGCACCACAACTAATCTCTCCAAAACTTTCTGTAAATCCTTTTTCTATGACGTTTCTCTCTTCTCATACTGCCTCTGGTCATAAATAAAGCACGAGAGCACAATACTTAATGCATACATGCAACACAGGCTTACTCTGAAAACGTAGTCCTGTGGACGTTTCTGGAGACCCCGAATTATGTAGCCGGAAGTACGTATGGCTACATTTAATTTTTTTAAACGAATGCTATGGGGCGGTATGACGGCATTCCTTTTCGCGCTTACCAGCTGACCGCTTACCTCCGTGTGGAGGGCTTTCCCGCTGCAACTAGTTTGTCCCGTTAGCTCGTCATGTATGTCGGCGGACTTAAGATGCAGCGAGGAGTTGATCACGACGACGATGACGGAGTTTGAGTTCGGAGAAAAGAGTGGTTCCAGAAATCAGGTAAGACAAAAGCAGAATCCAAAAATAAGGTGAACAAGTAAACAACAGAGTGAGAATGTGGTAAAATCAGAAAACGTGGTAAAAATCAGACGAGGGCTTTTCTTTTTCTCGACGGCTTTTGTAAACCATCGGTTGGGTTAAGGGAAGTAAGCGGGTCAATCAGTAAAATTGGTTAGGTTTAGGGAAGGAGGAGGGTGGGTCAGGTGATTGGATTGGTCAACGGACCAGTCAGTCATTCAGTCAGACAGACGGTCCCTCAACAGCGGCCTCTGGTGACTTTAAGCGAGAACAGCGGGCGTGAACGGCACTGGTGCATTTGTGAAAACAAAAACTGCAAAAATACGTACCTCCTGGGATGTATTTCGCAGTCTCCAGAAACGTCAACGGGACTACGTTTTCAAAATGAGCCTGGGTCGCATACATGTGGGGTTGATCGCTGACAGGATATGGGTTATGGTTGCGTACACTCAACGCACAGCAAATGACTGAACTGGCCACGTTTGACATACAACCATATGCTTTATGGATGTTTAACAGCGGATCCTGTACTGTACAGGAACACAGAGGCAGAAAATGGAAATCAAAAATTGTGAGAAAAAAGTATACTTACTAGAGTATTATTAGTAGGTTAAGCTGGATGTGGCATGTGGCTTTTATGTTTGTTACGTTGAAATGTGTTAAACATAAAACAGTGATTATGAATATCTTCAGGAAAGACTTGAATGTCCATGTTCGAGTCCATATGACTTTCCTTGAATTAAAGCAACATGCAAACAATATTAAATAAACAGTGCAATCTTTGCACATAGTTTGGCCATAATCAGTGAAACGGCACTTGAGTTTACAGCCTAAATGTAAGGATATATTGATACATCAGCTTCACCAGTGGTACATCAACACTGTGAATGCGAAAGGCAATGTAAGGTGTAAATTTGTGTGGGTTTGACTTCTCATACGGCAGATGTGGCAGTTGGTTTGACAATGATGCTTTGCGCAATATCCTCTCTGTTGATCTTCTTCAGAGCTGTGCAAAGCGTATCAATGTTAGCCGAATCTTGGCTCGCCCAGTGCGACAGAAGTGCCTGGATGGGCCGTTCCTCCTGCTTGAAATTAGCAATGTGTTCTTCTTTGTATCCAAGTAGCCCGGCTAGGCTGCACCAGTCGGTCTCCTCATTGGCTGCTGACTCCTCTCCTTCATTGGTACGATTTAGCAGTTTCTCCACCTCCTCCCGTGTGTGTAAGGGCAAAGACAGAGCCGAACCTCCATCTATCTTGACCACTGAAACAAAGAGGATATATTTAGCCATCTGGATAAATTCAGCTAAAACCATATTATATTATATTATATTATATTATATTATATTATATTATATTATATTATATTGTTCATTCATTCATTTTCTTGTCAGCTTATCCCTTTATTAATCCGGGGTTGCCACAGCGTAATGAACCGCTAACTTATCCAGCAAATTTTTATGCAGCGGATGCCCTTCCAGCCGCAACCCATCTCTGGGAAGTATATTATATTATATTATATTATATTATATTATATTATATTATATTATATTATATTATATTATATTATATTATATTATATTATATCACATATTATATCACATATTATATTATATTATATCACATATTATATTATATTATATTATATCACATATTATATTATATTATATTATAATATATTATATTATATTATATGTAGCATATTACAAAATGTTGTGTTAAATATATATATATACCTACCCGATATTTGAATATTCTCTAATTTAGGATTCTAAACTATTTATATAAAATTAACCTTGTGTAATTTCAATCATATGTCCTTTATGTGCCCTATGTTAAATTTAATAACATAGGGCACATCATATCACTTGATTAATCATTTTACAATTATGTATAAGGTGTTGCAGGTAAATAAATGTATGTAGCCATTGTGATGTAGCCATTTTTGGGCTACCAATGATTTAATCTCACTTTAATTTTAAACAGCTTAAGATTTTAGCCTTTACTTCAATATTAGCTAAGCACCATATAATACTCCACTGGAAATCAAATAAGCCTCAAACTACATCCCAATGGCTTGTGGCCATTTTTTTATAAAATAATTTTTATTTGTTTTAACTATTATTAGGGTTCCCATGCTTCTTAAAAGTATTTAAAAGTACTTGAATTTCAGACATAAGGATTCAACGCTCGAAAGTATTTGAAAACAAACAGAGGTCCTTGAAAGTGATTGAATTAAAATTAAATTAAAATAAATTTGTTTAGGATTTTGTTTTAACAACTACACCCAAGTGTCAAACAAAGATAAAAAAAGACAAATAATGCACATTTTAATGACATTTCAGTAACCACATTTGAATATTACCAGTATTGTATTCAACAAATGTTATTAAAGTTCTTCAAACATGACTTTTTAAAATGGTCAAAATTTTAAGTGTAAGTGAATTGTTTAAAGGGTGGCACAGTGATTAGCACTGTCATCCTACAGCAAGAGGGTCGCTGTTTCGAGTAACAGCTAGGCCAGTTCTCATTTCTTTGTGGAGTTTGCATGTCCTTCCCGTGTATTTCTCAGTATTGGGTTGTGGCTGGAAGGGCATCCACTGCCTAAAACATGTGCCAGAATAGTTGACGGTACATTCCGCTGTGGTGGTCCTACATAAATAAGGGACTAAACTGAAGGAAAATGAATGAATGAATGAATGAATAAATGAATGAATGAATGAATGAATGAATGAATGAATGAATGAATGAATGAATGAATGAATGAATAAATGAATGAATTGTTATGTACGGTAAGGACTTTTATGCATATGCTCGGGGTATGAATTGCAAAGGTTCTTGATTTAAAATTAAGTGTGCTTTAAAAAGTCCTTAAAAAGTCCTGGAATCTGGTGTCCATGAAAGTGTGGGAACCCTGTATTATTATCTTATACTGTTTATTTGAACACGTTTACTTTCATCATTGACATTATATCTGAACATTTGATTGTGGTTGTTGAATGACTCCATTCAGTTAGTTGTAAGTACATTTCTGTGTATTTTAAACACTTGTTGTCATTTTTCTTTTTCTCCTATTTTTTCATTTATTCATTTCTACCCTTTCCGGTTTTACTCTTTTTTTTTTTTAAATCTTCCCTTTTAATAAAAAACAACAATAACAAAGATAACAACATGTAACAATTTGTATAGTAATATAGTTTGTTTTTGAACATTAAAAGAAACCTGTTTTAGAAAGAAAAGCTTACCATAGCTTTAGTTATGTAAAAATAAAAATCACGACTGCTGTGTTTTTATATGCATAGTTTGTCAAGAAAGTCTTGTCTTGTCTAAATGTGGCACTTTGTTTCTATAGCATCAACAGCCAATGATATTGCCCATCTTGCATTCAAGCTCCTCTGAATCGTTTACATTTCTTAGAAGTTCCATTAGTGCTTCTCTGAAACCCTGTGCCTCACTTAGCTTCACTTGCCTATATCTTCTATGATTCATTTTATGCATGTAGGATAAATACCAGGCAACGATTGACCTCACAACCACAGTCATGGAGAAGAGAGCTAATTAAAAGGTCACCCAGAAGACCACCACTGATACCCTCTACAAGAAGGGTAAGCCACAGGTCATCATTTAATAGGACTGGACTTTATTGAAGTATATGGATAGTTTTTAAATTGTGTTATAGGACGAAGAGCATAATGAATATGAGTGACCGTAGCCTTCAAAACACTGTCAAGCAAGAACAGTTTAGGAACTTCAAAAAGCTTAACGAGATGTGAAATAAAGAACGGCAAAAGATGTGAACAGAGAGCATCAGCAAACCGCCCACAGTACAACTGTCACATTACCAGACACACTTTCAGAACAGTAAACATTGATTTAATTCATATTTTTCAATTAAGTTAAAAAGGTTATTACAAATGATCACATTTTTTGAGATGAAACTGTATGTTAAGATGATAAGGGTATGTACCTGTATGTGGAGGCCCCTGGCCGTCCTGCAGGCTCTGACTGTCCACTGAGATGCCGCTGTCACTGTGGAGTTTCTCTCCCTCAGGAGAAGGAGTCTGACTGGGGTTTGCGCTGCACGCTCGGTTATTGGCTTGCTTATTCTGCTTACAACTGTTCCACCTGAAAGACATCAGAAGTTAACATCAGCATTTATTTCTGACCTAAAAGACAACTTTTTTCGCCGCCAGCCATTGTTTAGACAGGCAAAGATGTCAGGCCACTCAAACAAACAATGATTTGAAAGCACCAGGACATTCACACCCTAAAGCAACCAAAGCGGGTCAATGTTACATCCTCCCGTTGTGATTTTAATATTTTATGACCCCTTTTCTCCATAATCGCCATCTGTTAATGTTCAGAAAACTCTCAGGCTTGTTTTAATTTCATCAACATTGATTTATGCCTGCAAAATCATGCAGTGTAATAAAATGCTTGAATTTTAACTATAAAAAAAGTTCACTATAATGAAAGTCTTCAATTGATTAACCGTAAAGTCTCTTACAATATACAGTGCAAAAACTGCAAAATCTAACAGAACATTTCATACATTTGAAGTGGAAAAAGATCAAATCATCAAGTCTACATGCAACATATTTCAAAATTCATAAACGGTTTATATATGAATATTGTTGGAGAAAAGGGATTTATTTTTATTACTTTTGTGTTTTATTTATTAGAAAAATGTTTAGACTAACAACAGATTAATCAATCTTCTCTATTGTATCATAACATATCTTTAACAGACACACTTCCTCTTTTTTACTGTTTATACTTTTAGAAAAACTGCTGACCAGAGGAAAAAGCAGAATAGGAATAAATTTAGCGTTTGTTCCAGAATTCTGTTTGGCCATGTCACAAGGAGCATGATGCTTGTAGAAGTTGTGAAATATATTAAAGATGCACGTGATTGTTCAGTTCTGGAGAGAAGGGTTGCAGAAAGAGGAAGTATATCTGGGGCGACAATAGCCAAAGGACTGCAGAATGACTGATAAGTGACGTTACACCAAACTCTACATGTTAATATCAGTTGTGTATATTTGCTGAAGTCAGGAAATGTATGTTAGTTGTGAACCTCTTGAATGTAATTCTTGTATTGCATTGGGGTAACGTAACCCAGAGCTCTGTCATCGAATTATTCATTTGTATCTAATAAATTACTAATATTTTTGGCATTGAAGAAAACCCTCTCCAGACCTTTTCTTATTGACCACGCATAGAATTGGCTTGATATTCCAAAAATATGATGGCATATAGCCTTTATTTATGAGGTCCAACCAATATTTCCAGGTTTTTATGAATAGGTATTTGTTAATACTTTGCATTTAAGTACAGCAGTTTTCTTTTTACTTTAAGAACAGTATCCTACTATTTTTAGTAAACTTTTAAAAGCACATTTTAAACGTTGACTTTTTATTTTTTTATTTTTTTATTTTTTATCTAAAAGCACAGTTCAGTGTTAATGCTCAAACTATTTATAATGTTTAAAGTGGCTGACAATAATAAATATTCTTAATGATAGGAATTAATCTGCCTTGTCATTGAAGTGGTACTTGATGAAATTTTTTTAGATCCACTGGTCTAGATTACTGTTTTGCCAAATCCTTAAATGTGTCAAAAATGAAAGTGGTGTTATTTAATATGATCTGAGATCAGTGTCTCTGCTTTACCCCACATAATAAACAATGTGCTCGTGATGAATCAGATGGAAGAACAGCCTAGGAGCATTTTTTCCTTTCCTCACTTTATATAAATAGCTGAACTAAAGCCACATGTCACTGTGGTTATAATAAGAGAACATAAAAATATCACAGGGAGGAAATATCTGACCGTTTAAATATGATGAAGGCCACCAGGCCCAACAGCACCGCAGCCAGTATGGAGGTGTAGATGGGAATGAGGTTGTCGCTAAGCCCATGTAGTCTCTTTTGCCCAGGGTCAGTCGTGGTCACGCTCTCCGTAGGATTGTCCGGTAAAAGCTTCTCTGTATACGAGACAACTGATGGACCAGGAGAAGAAAATTTATGTATTGAAGGTGAAGGTGTGAAATATGGAGTAGGAGGAGGAGCAGAAGGAGAAGGAGAGCTGTTAGGAGCATCGAAATCTGTTGGAGGAATGGGGAAAAGACAAGGAAAAAAAAGACAGTTTACACAGTCTGTTAGCTGTTAAAAAGCAGTTTTAGTATGCATGATGGCATGAGAAATTTCTAAAGCAAGTTAAATAAACGTAAATCATGTAGTTATTTCAAATAAGACATAAAAGCATGGTTGAGTCAACAGTGAATAGAGGCAAACAAAAAAAACATAACAAATGAGTTATGATGCATGTCATGTACAGTACTGTTTCTCTCTCTCTCTCTCTCTCACACACACACACACACACACACACACACACACACACACACACACACACACACACACACACACACACACACACACACACACAAACGTTTGTTTTTGTGAAAAGTGGGGACATTACATAGGTTTCCATTCATTTTATACTGTCCAAACCGTATATTATATTGTCCTCACCCCACCCCACCCCTAAACCCAACCATCACAGGAGACTGTGTGCAGCTTTACTCTCTGATTAAACTTATTCTGTAGGATTTATAAGCATTTTAAGAAATGAGGACGTCACCAATGTCCTCATATTTCACCTCCTTTTTGTAATACCTGTGTCATACCCATGTCATTATACAGATTTGTGTCCTGATATGTCACAAAAACACATACACACACACACACTCAAAAAGATATTTTAAAAATCAATTGGACCTCAACGCCCGTTATATAGACAAAAACAGTCCTTTAAAATATCTTCTTGTATGTTCTACAAAAATTTATACAGAAAAAATCATGCAGGTCGGGGGAGATTATATATTTAAGATACAGTCAGACACATCAGTGGCGGTTCTAGTTTAAAGAACCCCCGGCTGTTGCTAGATCGGGTATGATTGTGGCCGGAAGTTAATGAGAATTAGTGGTGTAAAGTAACTAATTACAAATACTCAAATTACTGTAATTGAGTAGTTTTTCTCAGGAATTGTAATTTACTAAGTAGTTTTAAAAATGTGCACTTTCACTCTCACTTGAGTACACTTTTAGTGCTGTATCTGTACTTTTACTCCACTACTTTCCTTCAACCTGCAGTCTCTACTTTATTTTTTCTTGTCTATGAGGTATTAGAAAAATCAGTCCTGTGAATCCTGTCCAATCAAATCACACATAGAAGGTAAATCGCATCACAATAAACTACCTCAAGACATGTGCGCTTTATAATTGAAACAAACTGTTTGGAAGCATTCAAAGTGTCCAAGATGATGTCCAAAAACTTTACACGCATTGACCCAAAGACAGTTTAGATGCATGTCACTGATGAGAAGATGATGGATGTTTACTGTATAATGACCAAAATGGCCTTAAACACCCAGCAAGGACAAGACATCAACATGACGTCAAAATGACGTTGTACCAATGGGTCATGGGGATGTAGCATTTTGTTTGGAAATGAAAATCGGGTTGACGATAGAACTCAACACCAGACCAACGTCAATGTCCAACCTAAAATCAACCAAATATCAATGTCTAATGATGTCACAGCTTAAAATTGTGTGGACGTTACCACTATGACGTCTATTAGATGTTGGATTTTGGTTGTTATACCTGAGGAATAAATGTCAGTATTTGATGGCAATATGATGTTGGTTTAAGATGTTGGCTCGATGTTGGATTTTGCTCACTTTCTACCACAACCTGAAATCAACCAAATATCACATAGAGAATAACAAATGTGCTTGTGCAAAAGATGACGACCCCTAACGTCTTTATTCTGGGATTACTACCCTAAATTAATTCACTTGCATAAAGTAAATTGTACCTCGAAGCTTTTACTGGGACACAGTTGTTTTTTTCCCTGTGCCGCCCCCAGTAAGATGCCACCCTGGGCGATAGCCTATATTGCCCTTGCCTTAATCCACCAATGCAGACACATCAGTAGACCCTAACATGGAAGGGGACATGGGAGCCCCGGGCTTGAGGATCTTTTGAGCAGGGGGCTCTTCTGGGACAGCATGCCAAACAAGCTTTACAATTAATCATCAGCTTTATATTCAAAGTATGAACTCTTGAAATGTCATACGTTGGTCAGAGTTACAAGGTTTATTTTACACTGTTGCTCATAGCTGTCATATATGTGTTATTTTAAATTTACCATTTTGAGCTGTTATGTCAATGGTAAAGGTGTGCTTCATGGCAAAATCAAAGTTCTTTCTAGTCATTTACCCTGCAACATGGACGCTTTGTGTTTAGAATTACTGTGCTTTTGTTTATCACTATAAGAAGGTTACAAAACAATTGTGTGGGCAAATCTGTCAAAATGACAGACATTTACTGAAAATCTTCAGTTATCGTGACCTGTTATCTGATATCTATGACATACAGTTTGTCTAAAAAATCTGCTTTTTTTAAATGCATGATGCATCATGCATGACATTTACCACAAATGAAAGCTGTACATCAGGTATGCATTTCCAAAAACAATCGTTTTAGAAAGAATCGAGCCAACTAAGGTCGCAAGTTGTGTCATTACAAACATGGTTTGTTAATTTGCCGTTGCCCAAATCCAAACTTGTATGTTAGCAACTACACCTCCAGAGCTGTAGTTAGCAGCAAAGTTCCTGGTTGTGTTCTATTCCCAGTTATCCCTATATGCCCTATTTATTTAAAACGTGTTCCCTTCGCAGTGCACTTTAAAAACATTTATGCCATTTTAAACACAGCTGTGGCTCATGGCGAAAGCTATGTGACCTATAATTTAAAGCGGAATTTATATTATGTCTCCAAAGCTTGTAAAAACAAAAAACACCCCAGCTGCCGGAAATTACCGTAAAATTACGCATTTTTATTTTACAGTGTATTGTAATAAAGAAGGAGTTGTCCAACACTTATGTACTAGAACAATTGTGTACTTTCATTTCAGTTCCACCATAAAGATACAGAACAGTATCATAAGAGGTCTTTTCTCTACCATATATGGTACAACTTTTACAAAGCTATAAAACTGTTCCTTAAGTAACATTTGTACCCCTTTGTACCATGTGTACTATTTGTATTTGTACCACTGTGTAATTTTTTTCTGACAGTGAATATATATTGATATATTAATATGTACTGTATTTTAATAGGTCAAAAAGTGTTATATGTTCTAAACATATAGTGCAAGCACGAATTGAATAACTTTGCCCTCCTCTGTAAACTGTGGCCCCACCTTGGTCCCTGCCTTCAGAAATTCCTAGATCCACCACTGAATCTGTGAAATGTGTTAGCTACTAAAAAGTGTGAAAAAAGTTTACAGATTCCATTTAGGTCTAGTCAGTACAAAAACAAAAAAAAAAAAAAAAAAAAAAAGACACAAAACAGCCCGGGAAATGTAGTAAAATTGAGTAAAAGCAGATTAGTACTAAGACTGCTTTGTCTTGGCCTTGTGAGCTCTGTTCGCTGGAAAGCTAAAAAAAAAAAAAAAGATTCTTTTGATTGGATTATCTTTGATTCAATTGAGGGTCGTAATAAACAGGCTTTGTCCTGAGTCAAACCTAATGGGCACTCGACTAGTGCAGGAGACTGTGATTAGATTGGAGAGGTAGAAGCTCGGCCCAAGTAGGACAGGCCTCGCCCCGGGCCGTTGTGTGTGTGTGTGTGTTAGCGAGTTTGTGTGTGCGAATGGGTGGTGTAAGTTATACCATGGACAGATGGACAGACACATTGAAGATCATCAGATATTCTGGCTGTAGGGGGATGGAGGGGTCACTGGGGGTTTGGTTTGGGGAAGGGCCATGCTCTAGGGAATGTTCTGTATGGATTTATTGATCCAAGTACTGCAGCACAAAACATTTTGGAGGGAAATTTGGCCATGTGAGCTTGTTTTGTGGCAAGCTTAATAATTTACCAAATTCATGAAACACAAGCTGAACAGAAAAAGCGTCTGTTTCGAAGTGTTCATGAATATGATTACTTATTTTTGAAGAGTGTGTTAAGCCCAGTTCTGTACCTCAGTGCCATTTCTTTGTGAATGGTGTGTAAGATACAAAGTTGTTACACCAGTCCAGTCATTTGTTGAGAGGTTGTTGAGAGGTTATTTTTAGGTTATTTTAATGTTGTTTACATTTTAAGACTTTTTATTTAAAAAAAACAAATGTTACACACATATTGTTTGCTATGGAATGCAAAAACTTTAAAGCTCAATATCTCAAAATCATTCAGAACACAGATAGAACCTTATAACTCCAAGGTGGCGTATCGTTGTGTGGTTGCTAAAGTGTTTTGGCTTCTAGACAGTTGCTTATCGAGTAGAGCAGTTTCGTTTGATAAATCTGGATATACGTGGATATACCCATAGGGAGGAGAATAATAAGAATACCACTAGTTCAGCACATGGAAAAGCAAACCGTTAGCCTCAAACACCATTGTTTCCTCATTTTTGTGTAAATCCTATGAGTGTAAAATGTGATGAAACAGGAATAAAACACAGATTGTTAGGATCCACATTAATATGCATGCCACCAGTTTGAATTTGATTGGCCACGTTTTCTACTGATATTACAACATTACCTCTTTTTAAAAGTTTATTTAAGCTTGTATTAAACATGTTATGTATAAGGGACTCTTATTTTGAAAACAGGATTGGCAGGAAGAGTAAATGAGCTTTCTGTGAAAAATACAGCTATGCTTCTAGTCTGTTTACAGCTTGTTAGAGCTTAAAATATATTTAAGTGTATTTTGTGTTAGTTTAACATGTAGGGCCACTTGATTAATCGAAAAAAGATCACAATCTCGATTCGACCCCACACACAATCTTAATTCAGCTTTTTCTATGATATAGCTAATTATATTTTTAAGGTCAGGAGAGAAGCAAGGATGTCGGATAAGTGTTGCAGCACAGCAACACTGACACCTTCAAATGGCATTAAAAGTGTTACATACTGTATTTATAAGGCATAATTCACCTAGAAATGTCATTTCTGTCTTCATATAATGATGTATTCGTGGCCGTGAATTCACACGTGAGCTGGCGCACTGTTTGTATACTACCAAGAACGCGCACGTA